GCACTGCTTCTTTTCAACTTTTCACTACCAAGTACTTCCATTTAGTCAGAAGCAATATATGTAAATTTACTCTGGGCATTAAGAAATACAGAACAGATGACGTAGAAAATGTTTTTCAAAATAGTTTTTTTTTTCTTTAAAGATGTTTTGAACTCTGCTTAATTTTCCCAAATTATTTTACTGGTTATTTCCACCCACTCTTCCTTTATTTTAAGTTTAACAGAAAAAAAAATGGAATTTGTTTTCAAAACCTGTTATTTAATATACCAGTCTCTGCTCCGATACAATCCTTTTGTCTTTCTAACAGAAGAATTAACAGAACATGGCACTGAATAAGATGGTAAAATCATGTTCTACTAGTGCAAAAGTTATGCTTCCATCAAAGAAACACGACAAAGTTTCTTCAATTGAGAATACCTACACGCAAGTATATCGTGGCTTTTCTTTCTGAACATATCAGATCAGAAATGAGTTTTTTAAGGAAAGTGAGCATATGTTATCTTGTCTGTGTTTTATGCTTGCTTTTAAATTGCTCACCAAGAAGCACGCAAACAGTAAAAGTGAGGTAAAAGTCTGAATTTACATATGTACATCTTTGTAGAGTTTATGATATATGCCAAACTGTTGTCTCTAGAAACTGAAATTCTTTCTCCACAGAACAGGAACAGCAAAAGTAAAAGCTCGTGCAAGCTTTCTTGTGTTCGGTAAGTGTTGAGACCTGCTGACGTTTCTGACCGTCTGTTAACCATTGTACAAAAGCTAAGCTCTCAATGTAGCAGCTGCCCGTGAGGAAGTCTACTGGACACCCTCCACTTGTTTTGCAGAAATCATCAGAGTAGTCAGTAGATGGTGACTTATTAAATACCACAGAGGTAAAGTTTAGGCTTACTGAATAATTGCAGCCCAGGGATTATGGATGAATTCCAAAGGGATGCATTTCACCTGTTTCCTGTTAATCAAGCAATTAAAAAAATGCAGAAATGAAGGTTTATCTCTGAATAGATGATAGTAAGCTGGCCAGCTCTTGGTTTTTCAAAAGGTATCTGAAACTTAGAGTTTCAACCAAGGGGGCAATGGAGAGATGAGTGATTGGAAGCCTGACAGTCTGTAACATACAGTACTCAAGAGATAGATGTTTCCTGGTTTTAAAGTATGTGATGCATCTAGATAAAACTCATTAGGACAGGATTGCTAAGTTTTAGGCTAATTTTCCTAGATTTGACACCTGAGAGAGTTACTGGACTGTTCTAGTTTCATACATTTTGCATAAGCATACAGAATCCTTTCTGTGTAGCTAAATGGTACAAATAAGCGCTTTTAGGATGTTCTATTCGTTGTTTGTCAACGCTAATTTCTTCAGGTAAATTTTTGTTTTTCTGACATTAACAATGGAGACAAAGGTGTTTAAAACGATGAAAGCAAATTGAAATGTGGGACCTGGAGATGGTGAAAGAAGGAACACAGTATTCAGTATTGGCTAGTTACAGTCGCATCAGAGACTTTTATTCAAATCTCTGATCAGTTTGTTCTGCCAGATTGCTCCCTTATCTTCAGCAGCAGCAGTGCTAATATAGGATATGTGCAAAGATGTCTGTAGGTATGACGGAACAATTTTTCAGCAAGCTGTACTGATAAAGCGCCTAGCAGTTCTGAAGAAACAATTTCAGGTGTGGTTGAAATGGCATTATCGTTTGATAAACAGTACTGTAGTTACCATCAGGTGGTTACATGAAAACAAGTATTTGAGCTAGTTTCATATTACTGAATAACAGAATTAGCCAGTTAATTTACTAATAGTGTATGTGATACGCACTCTATTGCTCTGCTTTCACTAAAATTGAACTACTTTGTTCGCTGTGTATGCCTGAGGCTTTTTTTGCCTTTGTGTGCCTTTCTGCTTCCACTGTGTTCACACGAAGGCTTCATATCACAGCTTTTTATCAATATTCAAGTTTGTCATGATTCACTCATCTTGTTTTAAAGTATTACCACCGCATTTGAGATGTGGCTTACACGTGTGATGTATGATGTTTGTTTCTGTACGACTTAAAGTATGTTAAATTGAGAATGGTTTCTCATCTGGCAATGACGGTGCAGGAGATCTTCAGTAAGTGGGAATTTGCCTGGGCTTCTACTGATGATGATATGGGGTATCAGGCTTACACCCATAGTAGACAACCTTTGCTTCAAAAGTTTAAATTCACAAGTGCATTCTGGCAGCTTTAGGAAGGGGAAGTGAAAGTTAGATAGACTAGTATCCAGCTGTGCCCCCCACAAAAAAAAAAAAAATCTGAAGGTTATAAATACTTACAGTATGGTAAGATTGTTACATAAATCTCAAAAACAGGATTAAACAAGCATTGGCAATATCCATGCATACTGTTGTTTTATAAGATAACTGAATTTGCAGTTTGTTAATACAATAATGTTTGTCTTTTCATGTGCTTTTCAGTAGTTATTCAAATAGACTGGTTATATGATAGAGGTAGAATGTACACCGGGGAAATTTGCATGTAAGTGAACTTGCAGTAGCAACAGATTCTCTGGATAGGATATTTCTTAACCAAAATATCAAATTAAAAGAGGATTTGGGTTTCTGAGCATACCTTTTAGTTTCTTTAAAAGGTGTGAAATTTCAAGAGCATGCTTGCATGCACTTACTAAATAAACCCATGGAGAAGTGCAGATATCCCATCTCTGGCTCAAAATCCCTAAGCTTTAAACAGCTGGATTCCTATAGAGTCTTCTAGGGAAGTACCACCTGGATATTTATTGTGTTCTTGTATTTATTCTTTTGCCATCTGCTGCTGGTTACTACTTAATACAAGGCAAAATGGACTTCTGGTTTGAGCTGACCCTGTGTTCCAGAGTATCCTCCCTTTACTCTTACATATGTTTTGCCTATTTGGAGGATATGAAGGCTGAATTAGCTGCTCAAATTTTCCTTTCTCTCCTGCTGTAGCTATTTAAGTTGGTCTGTGATGATGCTCTGAAATACCAGGTAATGGAGAAAGGTAACTGTCTGGTTTCCTGCAGTTAGAAACCTGGCTTTGCAAATCCCATCAGCAGAATCATGGAGAATATCTTGATACATCTTTGGTGAAAGTTGTTACTGAAATATCACAGGCATTATGCTTTAAATCTCATTAGTGTTCTCAGTTGTTCACATGTCTGTGTAGCCCTGTCCTACATAAATAAGTTTAAAAAATTATCTTGGCTAGTTAATTATTGTCTCAACATCTTTTTTTCCTTGTGTATGGCAACTTTGACTAGGGTTGCTTAGAAGTACCTCTAAGTACTGGTAGAATAGACTCACCATCTGTTTCCTAATTACATAACAAATTTACCTTCATAATGAAAATCTAAATTTCTTATCTATTTTATAACATAAAAATACTAAAGCTTGGAGAAGAGCCTCTAGTAATTCCAATAGTATATTCTTTATTTGTAGCATGTCTGAAAAAAAACAGACTTTTTTTTCCCCCTGGAAAAGGAAAGGTTCTGTCTTAATTCATCAGTGTACGGGATTAACTTGTGATGGGATTTCTATTTCTGGTTACAGAATCACAGAATTTCTAGGTTGGAAGAGACCTCAAGATCATCGAGTCCAACCTCTAACCTAACACTAACAGTCCCCACTAAACCATATCCCTAAGCTCTACATCTAAACGTCTTTTGAAGACTTATACATATGATGATTTCTCCTAGGTTAAGTTTACTTTTTTTTTTTTTTTTTTTTTGCTTATGCACTATTATTTCATATGCCATAATAAAGCTATACTATTCCTTACGTGAGATGGTGGTATCTGATGCAGATACTTCAGCCATATTCTAAAGGCCATCGTCATGGCTGTAATGGTATCAGCTAACGGCAACTACAGGTTGTATGCCAAGTGAAATGAGTAAGAATGATCTAATTGTTATATGACACAATATGACATGAAGAACTTGGTAGTACTTTAACAACTCTCTAAATGTTAAGCTCTCCTTAAAAAGCTCAGTTAGCAGGTCTGTTTCTGTTGGAGATGATCATGGAGATGTTCATGTATGTCACATTTAAAATTGTAAGAGAAGAAAAAATGATGGGATACCTTAACCTTCCCTTTTCCAGTTGAACTGGTTCTTAACCAAACTTATACAAGTAGGTTCTTACAAATGTTCTTACTAGTGGTGCTGCTTCCTGTCTGTTAACTGCTTTGTTTTTCAAGGAGCACTGGAATCTACACAGATAGTTCTTGGTATGGAATTCTGTCCGCTAGATGTATGTTCGTCTATAGAACCGTGCCTTAGCCTGAGGATTAGCTTAGCTGTTTGCAAGCTTCCATGTTACTAATCATTATCTCTGCTTTGCAGAACACCTTCAAGTTCTGTAGGTTTACAAGTCTGTAGAACTCCTGGATGTTTTTACCTATTTATAATCAATATTCTTTTTGGAGAATATTCTGCTTGCTTGGATTTCTTTCACTGAATTAAATTCTACAGTTTGATTACTGTATTTACTACATTTGATTTTTGCAGGCTACAGAATTTCCCTCTCTATTCTGTATGGTTTAATCTTTTTTTGAAAGGGATTTACTAAATTGCAGGTAGAAGAGCTGTTGCTTTGTTTGTGTGGGTTTTTTTTGTTTGTTTGTTTTTTTGTTTTTTTTTAACTTTTTCCAAAACTTTCTGGTGCTTCATTAGTAAGTCATTGTCACAGAAGCAAAATCAGCTCAGGAAGCAATCACCCTGAGAATACCACCTAACTGACCAGCCAAGAAATTTAAAAGAAATGTCTAAGGAACAAGTTGGGAATATTGGTCAGTGTGTTACACCGGTAACTGGGTTATCAAACTGGTCATCACTTCATCAGTTGTCTTTTTTTGTTTGTTTTTGTTTTGTTGGTTTTTTTTGGTTGTTGTTTTGTTTCTTTTTTGTCCTTTATGCTTTTCAGTTGATTCATTAGATCCTTGATCTTTAAAAAAAAAAAAAAGTTTGAAATTCTGTTTTGTCTTCAACAGTGCCCTTAAAGATAGTCGTTTCCCCCCAATGACGAGGGATGAGCTGCCACGGCTTTTCTGCTCAGTGTCTCTACTCACTAACTTTGAGGATGTATGTGACTACATGGACTGGGAGGTAAGGATTTCAGATGTCTTTAAGAAAATTACTTTGATATTACGAGCATCTATAGCAGAAGTCACGCCATTTAAATTATTTGCATATATTTAATTAGTCACTGTTTTGCACGCTATATGGATTGTTTTCTGTAGAGATTTAAGAGACTATTTTGCTAGAACTACCATCGCCTTAAAGGTCTGAGTTGTGAAAGTGGAGCGGAGATTTGATTTCTTGCCCATTTAAGCACTAAAAATAAGAGTGCCCTGTGCGGTTGTAGTTATGTCTTAAGATTCCATCATGCAAGGTATTGTCTGGAGTGATGGGGTCCTGAGACCTCTTTTGCAGCATAGCTAACTACAGAAACAAAACATGGCAGATTGTTCTGTTGATTCTGGAAACAGGATGCTCCAGTATGAAAGTTGGTAGTCTGATGTATGCCTCTGGAAATGGACACTGCAAAAATTGCAATCCCAAAACAAGCAGCCTTACGTAGATTGTAGGAGCCAAGCCATTTATCTTTTCCAAAATGTTCTTCACTTTCAGAGCAAGTGGCCTGCACAGAGCCCACAGAGCCCTTAAACAGTGAGGCCAAGTAAATGATTGCTCATATTTTCCTTTGCTACTTCTGCATGGAGCAGAATCTGTTTTACTTGCTTGATTCTAGGAAACCTGCATGCGTTCTCTTGGAACAGCAGCATAGAAGTCACAGATTAAGAAGCAAACACTGCTTTCAGAGTTATTTCTGGGAAGGTGTACTGGAAGAAGTGTTATTCTGTTACTCTTACGTTCTTTCCCAAATTATTTGGTATTGGATGCATGCGAGAAAGTAAGTTACTCAACTTAAGATGAACTTCTTATCTCGGCGAGGATGACTGTTGCTTTGCATTTCTAGTCTATATTTGAATGGATAGAAAATTTTTTGAAGTTGTCATATATGCTGGTGGATGTGTCATAATGCCAGACATACCTCACAAGTACTTCACTGTAATCATGACTTAACCCTACTAAACATTTAGGAATTCTTAATAGAAAAAGAGGCTTTCTATTGCACACACACATAACAAATATATATTGAAGGGAAATTTCATTCCTTGTTAAAATGGTAAGAGGCTCTACTGTATTAGAATGGTGGTGTCTGGCTGTAACCTCAGCAGTATGAATTAATTTTACAGTAGTTAAAAATCTAATAAAAATGCATTATCTGTTCAACTTGTAATGACAAAGGCTTCTTACCTTCCGATATGTAATTCTTCATGAATTGAGTGTAAGTCTGCTTTGGTGTTTATCAGCATTTTTCCTATAAGCAGAATTATTATTTTTTTTATGAAATGTCAGACAAGTAAGTCTTAGCTGAAACTGTGCGTTGTAAACAATAAGAGACTTTTTTCAGGGAACTCATTTGTCCTGCTTCTGAGCCCTTTAAGTACCGTTAGTCTTTAAATACTGTTTTCAAGCATTTAAAACTGTAGTGACTTTTAATACTAAATCTTTCCTGCTTTACTAAGTTTACTTCTAGTAGTAACCATAGTGATGTTTTTGATTTTATTTCATTTCTAATAACTTATTAAAAAAGACTGTGAATATACTCATTAAAAGTGTGAAGTGCAAGATAGTATTTAGCTATTTCTGTGGGGTAGTCTACCATTAATATTAGATGATATTTTATTGCCTCAATAATAATCTTTTAAGATGACCAAATTTTTCATTTTTAAAGAGAAACAGAAACTAATGTCTGAGTACAAAAAGTGATTGTTTCATACATAGTTATGGGTGATCCCCAAACTTTACATGCAAAACAGATGGGGGTGTAAATATGAGAAAGATAACATTTTTAATTCTTAATCCTTAAAAGAATGATTCATCCCTGCACATGCCCCTGTCAGTGAGATAGCTTATGTCATCTATGTTTCTTTTAAGGGAGCTGCAGTTATGCAATGTTAAATAGCAAAAAGATATTTCAGGATGTCTAAAATATGATCTATAGAGGGCTTCTGCATATTCTGTTTAGTATAATGCTAATTTCCAGATCATCCTAAGAATCAACGTGGTTAGAAGATCTTAAATCTGTAGGTATGCTACCAATTGATGATCTTGTAGGAGCTACTTCAGCAATTTGCTGATGGAGGTCACAATATTTCAAAATTGCAGATTCAGACAACTCACTGGTTTGGCAGCGTAGAGACAGGATCGTTTGACCCAGGAGTGTCTCCTGTATCCTGAAGCAGAGTGATAGATCTTTTCTCCGATCAATGAATTATATTCCCAAACTGAACAAATGAGTATTACAGTTGTAAGAAGCAACGAGAGATCCTTTTGCAGCAGAAGCTTCAGCCAAGTAAACAGGAGATATAAGTTGACCGCTATTAGCTCCATATGACTTTTCAAATTGCTGCCATTTTCACCTTTTATAAAGGTTTGTACCTTCTCCTGGTTATTTTTAAAGGACCGCATCAATGCAGTGGTTCATGAAGACACTTCCTAAAATATAATCCAGGATTCTTACTTGCTTGTGACTGTATATAAACTGTGCTGTGTGTTAGCAGTTGAACAAATGTGGGGCTTTGAAATGAATGCTGGGAGTGGATGAAGTGTTTCCTTATTTCTGCTGGACAGAACTCGTGAAATATTGCTGTGGTCTGGTAGCTGCTGGGGTGGTTTCACAGCCTTTCTCAGCCCTACTTGAGGGCATGGCTAGAACATAAATTGCAATATTATTGTATATATTGTATATATTCTATGCATGCTTGTTTTCTAGAAATACAGAAAAGCACAGTGCCTCTATTCATCCTCTCTCTTTCATCTTATAGCAAGTGAACCCTTTCTAAGAATATTTTCTGTTCATTTCATTAAGAATCTGTGGGGTTTTCTTGTTACAAGGTAAACTCTGTCTTGCCAATTCAGACCCTCCTCCAGTTTTCCTACTAAAATGTCATAAAACATTAAGACATATGTCATTACAATAAGAATCTTTTTGGAAAATGTTATTTTAATTCCAGCAGGGTAATAAATAACTAGAACTTATCAGCTGTTGTTCCTTAAAATACCTTGAAAGAGATCTTTGTCCTGAAGTTGCTGTTCTTCAGTAACGTAAAATCTACAGAATCGTGTGTGCTTTCTGTGTTGATACAAAAGGCCTTTAGTCTGTATATGCTGGTTTAAATATTAGTTTAAATAGTTTTAGGTGGCTTTTCATTGTTGACAAAGTTAGTATATTTAAGAGTTGTGGGACTTCTTCCTGTAAGTGCAGCAGCACCGCAACTTTTGGAGCTTGTATTTGTTCGAACAGAGAAGAGTCTTGATCTCACTGTTTTATTTTCTTTAGACAATATTCAGTGATTCCATGTATGTAAATGATATAAACATAAAAAAAGAATACATGTCATGAATTGGAGAGCATTTCTCCTTAATAGCCTTTTGCCTCCATTAAATCAGAATGTAATATTTAAGCCCTAATAAAGATGGTCAAAAATAAACCAGTATATTTGGTATGGATAGAAGGCTAAAAAGCTGAAGAATTCCACTAATAAAAAGTAGGGTCAACTTCTAGTAAGTAGCAATAGTTGCTTAATCTGAAATGTTCTGTTTCTAGGCACATTCATTTAGAGCAAGTTCCAGTAAGTAAATGGGAAAGATACTACGTTATATGGTATAATAATGTATAAAGTATCATATAGCCTCTATAAGCTATAATATATAAGCTGTAGGCTAATTTATTTGTTTGAAAATGTTTCTAGTTTGCCACTGTTGAAGGATTAAGCTGATAAACCGCAAGTCAGTAAAAAGCCACACACCAAAACAGCCTGGTTTGGTTCATCATGTGGTTACATGAATGCTCATACTGGTAGAACCAAGAGGCAAGGCAAGCAGAGTTTGTTGCATGTTACCTGGCATGCAGACAGCAAGGACTTCACATCAAGCCATGTTTCTAGTCTCAAGTGAAGAATATTGAGTGAACTTAAGAAACAGAAAGACACTTACTTCCACCACGAAGGGTGTGTTGCACTACTCCAGCTGGGGTATTCAATGTGGATACTTCATAATAGTTTCTTTGTTACCTGCTTTTAATGCATTTCTGAAAAAAATGTTTACAACTCATCTTAAACTAGTGTTAATATATGCAAATTATAGATTTCAGTGCAGTAGATAAAACTGAACAGAGCAGTAATTCGATAATTTACTTCACAGTGGACTAGACAGTTAAATTTCTGCAAGGCTTGATGTTTTAGATGCTTATCCAAGTTCCTCACTGAGTGTCTAATAAGAATAAAGTTACTTCTTCCTCTCAGTATGGATGGGGAATCAGAACGAGAGGAGCGGGTTTGTAAACTGTGTTTGGAACTCGGTCAGAACCAGGCAGTTGAACATAAGCGTTGCCTGAGTGTCAGTTTTGGAGTAGATTCTAGAACAATTTTTTGTTAACCCAATTGAAATAGATATGGACAGGTACACAGATACAGGTATAGATAGGTATGATGGGCAATAATCTAGCAAGTGACAGAAGCCTTCAGCAAAACAATAAATATTGTGTGCGTCTCTTTTGCCCCATCATGAGATGTATGTAAATAAATTATTCATTAAAAAAGTAACCATATAAGTGTGGATAAATGAATATGAATATGTATAAAATACACAACTAAGTCTGAAGTTCTGTTGCGGTCACTTCTAGTTTCATATAATCCCTTAGATTTAGGGAAAGGTCTGTGTTTTTGAATTAATGTAGTCTCTGGACTTAGTGTTAAGTAGTCTCTGTCTACTTGTACACGAGGCCAAAAAGCTTATATCCAAAAGTATTGGATACATATTGTACAGTATTTCATGCTATAAAACCCTATAGAAATATTTCTGTTGGAGGAGACTGGTTGCTGCATTTTGAAGTCTCTCCTCGTCTGACTTTGGTTTCCCAATAGCAAAGTAATCTAAATAGATTCCTATTAATTTTTCACTGAAAATGTGTATTCTTTTACAATTGTATGGTCTTTTTGCAGCTCAGAAGGATACCTGCATATGTCATACATAGGGATATAACTTAAGATAGAACTTAAACTCCATCTGCTGAAGAAGACTGTTTGACTTGTTTTGCTGGATGGCACAGATGTTATTTCAGGAAAATTTGCCTAGTAAAGCAGAAATCTTAGTTTGCAAAGAAAGCCACAGGTTTTGTTTAAGTTCTGTTCTGAGCCTGGTAGGCAAATTACAGTCCAGTTAATGTCTTCCAAACGTGTAACTACCCGTTACCTCCCATCTTAGGAGGGAATGTTTGGGGAAATTTCACAGAAGTTTCCATCAGTGCTGGTCTCTTGAGGAAGTCAAAATAAATTGCTGTAGTTGAGCCCGTGTCTATCTTAGTCTGGATCATTCTTAGTATACTTGTGTGTGGCTTCCGTTTTTTTTAACTTAGGCCTGTTTTTGTTTAACTGGAGCTAAACAATGGAAAGCCATTTATAGTGGACTAAAAGTACTGCAGTAATTAGCTGGGCAGTTGGAATTCATGCTTCACAGAACGCTGTGAAATTTTCCCAACCAGAGAAATTGTGGGCACAGTTGTATTGCCTTATTCATTTTGCTTTATATCTTTTTTCCTCCATGGATATGGGCCTAAAACTCTATTAAAATGGTTAATGGGAAACATCTAGTATAATGCAAGTACCTACTGCTTGAATGTAGCATCATATTTAATACATCATTAGTGTTTCTGGTTAATATCTCATGAATGCTACAGGGTCACTGTTACGCAAAAAATGTATGGAATTTGGAATCTAATACTCTGCAGGGTTTGAAGGTGTGCAAAAACAGGCCATTTGGGTTTAGGGCTTACTCAATTGAACGTATACAGTTATGTAATCAGCCAAATGCATACGGTAGTTAATGTGATGTTGCTGTTACAAGATTAGCATTCATTTTTCCAAGTAAATCCAGTTTTACACCAGTTACCTATAGTAGTAGTTGTTTCACTGCCACATAATCGACTTTATCAACAAAGTTTGTACAGAAAACTTGGTGATTTGTGCTTCAATTGATAGTTCCCATTTAAGAATGATGAGATCCTCCTTTTTCCTCTTGTATAGTAATAAAAACAGTTTGTATTGATGGAAGGGGTTTTGATGAGCCACCACCACTTTGGTAGCCTTACTGATGAATCTTTCTTCTACATCTTCTTTCCCTCAGGGGAGGGAGTAAAATCACTAATGTATTGTTCTGATAGTTCACGAATCAAAATGTTAGCATTCTCCTAGGATGTTGCCTTAAAAAAATACTGAGTGACATTTGTAAGAAATGCCTAGTAGAAGCAGATCGGAAATTTGTATAAGCTTAATAGCCTGAAAATGATGCCATGTAAAGGCCACGTGAAATAACTTCTAGAAGTTGTAAGTAGACACTGTTCTTGTGTTTTGGTTTTGTTTTTTGTTAGGGGGGTGGGGAGGGAGTACTTTTGCTTAAGGTTTAAAAGTAAGCAAGCATGTATTAGCTAACCTTTTAACTACATGTCATACCTTTGTAACTGCTGTTGGATCCTTCCCATCTGCTGCTTATTGCCTGCTTTTGAAAGTTAGCTACACTAATCCACACAGTAACAACCTTACACTATAGAACAACCCAATCTTTATCTAATCACACTCTAGTTTACCAACAGAGATGAAATTTCAGAAGGTCTTGAACCTTAGAGGACTGACCTGATACTTTCCAGGAAGCTGGAGGCAGGCTATGTTTTAGGGCAATCTCAAATAATGTTCTTTTAGTTTCATATCTACTTTTTTTCTGTTCTAATAAAAAGCCTTTTAAAATTGATATGAGCAAACGTACAAAGGAATATTGTTAGAATTAGATATTTAGGTCTTCAGTTCTGATCTTAATTTGGAGCATTCTTGGAGCTGCAAAAACTTACTCTGTTCTTATCGTAGGGATAAACTAAGTAGATTTCAGCTTTAACACCGTTGCTTTTTACTTTCAAATTCTTTGGGTTTATAATTACATCATCTGACCATATAGAGTATATATCTTTCTAGTGGTTATATATGCACATTATGAATGTTAGGTAATGAAATACATTGAAATTTGCAGTGAATTAAATGTGTTAGTCTCTAATTAATTTTTCTTACATGAGGAATACTGGGTTCACACAGAAAACTTACTGAGGCCTGGTGAGGAGAGAGACTTTTCCCATCATTGTCCCATGTTTATACAATGTATAAAGATTACAAAGTTTAAAAAATTAAGTCTCAATAAAAGCAAATATGTTAATTGAACAAGTGGTTATTAAGACCTTTGTAAATATTCCTTAGTTTTTTTCATTGTCATGCATTTACGGTAAAGTAGGTTGTCACTGGAAAAACTATTACTTAATTTTTTACTAATTTTGTGTTGAAAAACAAACACCATTCCAAATAGCATGTGATACTCTTTTAAACATAAACTCTCCATTTCCTCATGCAAAGTTGGGAACTTTGGATTTAATTAGAAACAACATCTTAGTTATGTGGGCATGAAAATTAAAATACCAGTTTACTCATGTTTTGAGTTTACATGCAGAACTCCAAAGCAACTTATTTGTTATTGTACCTTGAAAACTGGGGTTCTTCATGCACTGGAAAAAGTACCTAGCCTTTTTTTTTTTTCTGACAGCTTATATGTAAAATACTTCTAACACCTTGAGATTAGATATTTTGGTTCCTACACTGGTATTTTGTCATATTAGAGTACTTAGTAGCACGGAAGTGGGAGTTTGAAGCTGAACGCTCTGGAATACCTCCTTTTCCTCTCCGAAGTTAAGCAGAAACTTTGAGAGCTTCAGGTTCAAGTTGGTAGTGACAAATATTTCACTGTTGAGTTGTTACTTCAAACAAAATTAAGGCTCTTAATTGAAGCACCACTAGACTTACCACCTGTATGATTGCCTGCAGATTATATCTTGCGGTCTCAAGTGTCTAAGCCAGGTGTTTTTATGAGCAACAACATTGCCAACAGTGTCAGAGGGAGACTGGTAAATCCAGTTACAGAACTGCCTTACTTAGCATCTCAGCTGCCTCACCTTCAGACCAGAAATGAAGCTCCATGGTGGAGCTGAGGAGCATGTCTGTGCTGCTACTGACTTACAAGGCTGTCAGGTGAACACACCTTTCAGAGATTAGATTTTGCTTCAGTACCACCTTTTGAAATTCTCTGCAAAATGCTATTAACCATTTAAAGGTTCAAATTTTGGCCTTTATCATATTAGAAATCTCTTGTATCTTTTTTTTTTTTTTTTTTTTTAATGTACTAATAAAACTGCCGATTTCTTGCAGGTGGGTGTACATGGCATTAGAATAGAATTCATCAATGAAAAAGGATCAAAACGCACCGCCACCTACTTACCGGAGGTTGCAAAGGAGCAAGGTCATTGTTGCACTTTATTTCATATGATCTGGTGAAGAATTTAAACATACATATAAATCTAAAATGCAATATTTGACCTTGCACTGATGTCAGATGATGGAGCAATATTTAATTGTAAGAAAAGACTCTTATATAAAATGCCAATAACATGTCTGTATCAATCCCCTTATAGGGATTCAGTGAACTGTAGCTGTTTTTTAAGCAAGTCATGACCACGGTGAAGCTATAGGAAAACAAAATATGGAGAGGAGCCACAGTGCTGTCAATGAACTTTACAGTTGTCAAAAGTTACAAATTTTCATATAATTGTTATGCTGCAATATTAGACATGCACAAACTCTGTTAAGTTACAGGATGTCTGGTCAATAATCTTGACAGCTGATTTATTCTCAGATTCCCAGTGGTGAAGGTTTTTTCAGTTAGGTACTTTCTTGTAGCATTTCATTTGTTTTTATAAACAGCGGCTTCTGGTATTTTGGATGGATGGATGGAAGGGAATGACTTTCATACTGAAAGTCCAAAATAATGTGTCCCTTTTAATAGAGGGATAGACTAAAGTGTGTGAATTAACATATATGTATATATACTGCAGATTTTGTTGAATAGCAGTCTGTTGGTCTAAGCAACTAACTCCGACTACCACTAACATTATTCTCTTTCAGGCTTGGCAGTGTGTCTCAGTGTTTAAATTTTGCATTGCCACTTTTTTGGTTTTCCTTTTTATATTTGATTTGGTAAGCAAAGGAATAGGATGAATTCTTTAAAAGTTCAGATGCTTTCCAAGGCAATTGTTTTCCTTTTGTAATCTGAGATTGGCCAGTTCAAGAAGTGTGTTTTTTTTGTTTGTTTGTTTGTTTGTTTTTTGTTTGTGTTTTTTTTTGTTGTTGTTGTTAAGACCTTTGGTGATCACCTACACAAGTTTGTTTTATTTTAAATTCAGGAATTAGGAGGGGATGTTTACATTTCTAAATACTTATAGTAGACCACGTTTTTTACCCTTTTTTGTTGTTGTTTTAAATATTCAGTGTGACTAATCTTTTGGAAATAACACGTCTTAACAGCTATCTTGGAAATATTAAGCTTTTTAAAATCAATATGTAGGAGTTTTGAATAACACGAAGGCTTTTTGAGAACAATAATGAATCTGGATTTTTTTTCCATCATTGTTTTTAATTAACCAGCCACCTATATAGTAGTTCTGAAATTAGAAATATCACTAAGCTTTACAGTGACATTTGTGGAGAAGAATAATGTCTTTCCACTTGTTCGGCTAATAAATCTTTTGAATTTTAGAGAAATTTAGTTTTTCCATACCATCGTAGCCATTTATGATGTATAAACTGATTGTGATTAATGATCATTCCTGAATGTTTCAGAAAAGTATAATTTTGTCTGTTAACCCAAGTCTAGGACACAGTGGGTCTGCTTTTAAAATATTTCAACTATGAGATAAAAATGTGTGTTTGTAAAGTAAGCTTTATGCCTAAAGAAATCCTATGCAGCATATTTCCTTCAACCATTTTCTTAGGCAGGGAAAAAATTTCTATGTTTTGTACACAACTTCAGAAGAGCACTTGTATTATCAATAACGCTACATACTGTACTGTATTTTCTGCATCATCTATTGTTACTGCTGTAATTCTCACTAATTTTTACTGCTATAAAATTCAACAGGATGGGACCACATTCAAACCATAGATTCCTTATTGAGGAAAGGAGGCTACAAAGCTCCGATTACTAATGAATTCAGGAAAACCATAAAGCTAACCAGGTATGCATCATGGAATACTACAGATAAGTCCTGTTTTGATACTGCTGTGATATGTTCATTCCTGAGATGTGGTTGTTTCAGATGTTAATAATAAGCTTTCCCTTATTTATTAACAATTTCTTTTCACAATAGCAGTACGGAATTTAGAGATATTTGTGCCTTGCAATAAATGTAACAGGGATTACTGGCATTAAGCGAGAAAGAAAAGACAGTTATTAAATAGTTTGTTATATATTTATCAGGGCTCATAACTCTGAAAAATCTTTGCAGTGTATTAGCTCTATGTTTTTACGGTTTGTTTGTTAGGTGTAATGGATCTCAAGGGGCTTTTATTAACGAGGATTACTTGCCATTGTCAATTTATATTGGAGCACTTGGAACACTGAGTCTGTTGCTGTGAAGGTGTGGAGGCCCTGTTCAATGCCTAAAGCAAGCACTGGCTCCCGTGGAGTATAGGCTTCTTCCTGATCTCAACAGGCTAGGTGTCCAAGCTAGCTAGCTGATGATGACGGTCAGTGTACTACTTTGACTGCGTCAGGGTATCGTCAGGAGTAAAGCTATGAATCTGATACTTTATTTGATACTCTGTCACTTGTACACATTAGAGTACTTGTTGTAATGCTCATTTAATAAAATGTGTTGAGAAGGGCTTGGTAGCAGGTCCAAAACAAAATCCTTTATAACTAGTAGTGGATATTCTGCCCGTAAAATTGCAGTTACGTGGTGGAAGAGTAAATGTTGATAGAAAGCCTCTAAAACATCATATTTTTATAACTGTGCAGTATAAAATGACTGCTGAGCTCTAGCTATTTATTCCATGCTTGGGGAAAAAAGATCTTTATAAATTTCTTGTTATAAGGAGGTATTGACTGTTAACCCTTTATGTTCCTTTTTTTTCTTTGGGGATAATGAACATACTATTAATAAAGATAATAAATTTGCTGGTTGGAATCCTTTGTCCAAAATTGTTATCCTTTCTACCTTTTATCATAGGGATTCATAGGGTTACAGGATTAGTTTTTTAAATGTTGTATATATTATCTTTGGTTCTGTGTACGTATTTCTCTGGAAATTTCTTTCCTTCTTAGTGCAACTAGACGTGAGCTAGACTTGCCTTCCTGAGCAAGGATTAAAACACAATCCTTTCATTTCAGACCTTTGAAAATACTTGGAATCTCATGATCATTTATGTGCTTGTAGAGGACAAAGAGCTGAGATTTGTGTTTTTTTCAGCTCTTACATTTGTCATCTCTATCTACAAGGCTCGCTATTACTTAGCTGCAGTGGATGTTTAGCCCAGATAGAAGGCACAGCATTTCTTAGGAAAAAAAAATATATATATATTATTTTTATTAGAGGAATCCCTCCTTCATTCAGTGGTCTTTTGGATGAAGAAGAAAGCCTTTGTGTCCAATTGATTATTCAGAATTCTGCTTTATTGGAGGAACCTGATTACTGTGGAATTGCTGTTACTAAGGCAAACAAGTTATTCTGAGAGTTAAATTAGGGAGGAAGGATTTACAGAATACAGCTAAACTTCCAAATGCAGCACCCCAATTTCCTTTTCATTTATTTTACCAGTATACCTCATTATCTTCTTTTCAAAAAGAGTATGTGGTGATAACTGAGGGCAAGAGTAATTGCTAGAATTCTGAAATGAGACTTTCTGTACACCTCAATAAATGACGAATATATTCTTCCAAGACATCAGACTTCTATATAGCCTGTATTTTCTTCCAGCTCTATGATTTTGTTGGAAGCAGTGGTATATGAGAACAAAACAAAGTATGCTGTTTAGTGTATTCAGGTTCACAGCATCCAAAACGGTAGCAAAAACACTGGCCTAATGAGTGGAATAAACAAATTTTAACGTTCAGAATAAAATTCTTTTTTTTGTAATTTGTTTTAACTCTGATTCTACACAGGCTGCCTTTGGCTTATTTTAACCCACTGAGAAACAACTTCATTAATTACCAACTTTATGGTTTAGTTTAATAGTGGCAGAGGATTTCATTCACAAATGAGCTTACTCATAGGGGGCAGTGAGTGCTGTGTGCCATTCACATCAAGTCAAGAGGAGCTGCAGCTGATCTCATAGCCAGGACCAATGACCACTTGTTAAATCAGTACATCGTTAACCAACATTGTTTTATCAAGTAAATATGGGCTATTTGGTGCTCTGAAATGTGCGCTGAAGCAAAAAGCTGCAAGCATAAGGTGTTCTGCTCTGGCAAAGGGGCAAAAGAAACGAATGTGTTTGCTGCCTCGGTTGCTGAAGTTGATAACTCAACAGTAGTTTAAATTTTTGTGTTGGGTTGTGAGTGCAAGTGGTTGAGGCATGTGTTGTGCTTTTTCAGACCTAAAAGGGGAAAGAACAACCAGAGCAACTCCAGAAGAGAAATGTCATAAACAGGGGAGGTGGCAATATTTTAGACCACTGTAGCTGGATTCACCAACTCTCATCTGTAAGATCTCTTATGCAAGGTCTTTCTAAGTGAAATTTGTGGCAATGTGCAATAGTGTTATTTTTATGTAGATTTCACGGTTTTACAGATAAGTATAAATGTGGCAAGATGTTCCTTGTCAAACAATACTGATGCAAATGTATCTGAAGTATTTTTTGTCAGGGTCTGGATTCTGCTTTCTGCTATATATAGTCTAAAAAGGGTATAACTGCATTTAATGTAGCTGGGATTATTTTAAGAGCAGAATTTAGTAGACAATTGATACCGATTTTTTAAAAACAGACCCTAAATCTGTAACGCTTGTTTACAGTGTTTATCTCCTAGGTTTTATGTAGAGAGTTGGCTGACAATATGGGACACTCCCAGTAAATCCTCACAAGTTTAAAATCCCTCTATCATGAATAAAGTAGTAGGCAACATTTTTTAATAGTTCTGTGTGTTTGAAATATTTTTCGTAAGCACTTACTTGTCATAAAATTCAAGAATAACCCTGAAAACCACAGTGGTTCTCTCCATGCCCTTGTGCAACTGAAGTTAGTATTATTCCTAAGATCAGCCTACAGAGCTGTTCTCATCATTAAACATACAATTAGTGCCAAATTTTTAGTGCTACTCCTAGCTTCCTGGTAAAAGTTCTTGCATCTGCCTCTTTGCTCTTTTCTAGGTACCGTAGTGAGAAGATGACCATGAGCTACACAGAGTACCTTGCCCATCGTCAGCATCATCACTTCCAAAATGGCATTGGGCACCCCCTTCCACCATACAACCATTATTCCTGACACTGAGCCGCATGACCAGTCACTGGACCTCTCTGCAGACCTCTTCCCAGGAGACCCTGCCCCTTCTTGGTCTAGCTATCTCTATTACTGTACCATTTTATGATGATAGTTTCCGTTGCCATTTTGAGGCTTCTCCTTAGCGCGTTAAGCTCATCATGGCAACGGGAGGAAAAACTGCGATATTTACAAAGACCCCATACTTTTTTATTATTGAGTCACTGCAGATTTTTTTGCAGCATATATAGCCCTTGTGTTTTTTATGAAATTTTAAATTTCTACTTCATTAACATTGAATTATATCAATCAAGGCTTTCTGTGACTGTGGATGGAAGGAAGAGTTTAAGGATTACAGTTAGGGATTCTTTGCTCAGAAAAAAGGCATTCATGGCTTTTTCATTAATAGCTCTGACAGGGAATGAAACATATCAGATTCAGGTGTTATACTAGACAATGAATTGCATTTTTATAACCTTCTTAATAATATTCTGTGTACAGTATCTCACCCCTGCAGTAAAGATTTCATGTAGCTATATACATGATCTTCAGATCCAGCACATACAGCCAGAATTTGAAGGCTGATATCCAAAATGCTTTTTTTGGATGTAGAGAAGCAATGAAATGTACAATAAGAAGTGAAGTTCATATTACAGCATTTTCAGAATCAAGTGGTCTAATTGATAGGACATGACATAATCCAGTAGGATACCAGATAGGTTTATCTCCTATTCTGCGCTGGAAGCTGAGGGAAGGCAGCCTTGCCAAGCCTGGTCATAGTAATGCATTTGTAATGAGATGATGCCTTTCTGATGATCTCAAATTAGGAGTCACATTTGTTTTTAAAAGCAGATTGGTGAGTAGCAGATGTCATATTAGGAAGAAAATTGATTTAGATTTTAGTGCCTTTGACTATGACATTACTATATACTTGCATATACAATTCATAGAAAAAATATAGCAAATGCGCCAGACATTGTAGCAAACTATATTGAGTTCTCTGCTGCTCTGGCGTTGGGGTTTCTGGGATTATTTTTTTTTAAAGTGAGGTATTTTTCTTTCTCTTTTTGTTAGCTTATTCTAGAAAAGAAAAATCCCTATTTTGTTCTTTCTTGTGCTTTTGAACTTGCTGAGTTTTATCAAGTCATGAATAGTTAGGTAAAGTTAACTTGTTTAAAAAAAAAAAAAAAAGTGTTGTGAAAGAGCACAGGACAAGTATGCCATAATTTTTACATGTTTTCATCTATTACAGGAATAGTACTTGAGAGCTCTAAGTACTGTGTAATAATTCTGATACTTCTCCAAGAGGTAAAGAAAGAAAACTGATTAGAACTTTTAACAACTGTAAAAACAGGGTTATTAAGAGGTACATGTGGTATAGTTGCAAGCCCAGTATATGCTAGGACCTACCTCCTTGCTTATGTGCCTGCAGAACTCCCACTAATACCTGTTGTAGGTCAGCGCATGTTTTAGGGGACAACACATCCCATCTATTATAGAAAAGACCTTCCTAATATGGGTGAGTAAACTACGGTAAGCAGAAATTCCAATTATTTTGAATAATGAATGTTTATAAAATATATATATAATTGAAATGGATGAATTAAGATTGAGGTAATTTAAAAAAAAAAGTCTGACCAATTGTACAAATGTTTCAAAAAAACAGTTATGGATAAATTTTGCTCATCCCTTATGTGAGATTAGCTCTGCCACTTAATTTATATGGAGGTTCTCATAGAAAGTCTTTTGTATTCCTTCATCCACAGCATCTGATGTCCAAATATTTACATTTTCAGTTGTGATGCCTTAATTTATAAGCAGAAGGCCTGAAATTTCAGGAGCCAAGAGGTGCCAGGCAGACGCTGCAGAAATTAATAGATGTTTATACAGAAGCTATTTTGGATGATACTGTTGTCTTGTTTCTACTTGGGGAGCGGTTTTAAATGGATTTGTCTTCAAGTGGAAACTGAACAAGTGGCTACCTGATAAAGTTTTTTTGTTTTGTTTTGTTTTTTCCTTGCCCTTACAGGGAAACTGAGCACAAACTGAATCATTCTGCTGCAAAAAAAAAAAAAAAAAAGTCATCCGACCCCATCTTTATCTGTCATCTCGTTACAGCATGCTCATGCTTCTGTATGAGCTCATTGTTAGAAGTTTTTTAAAAAGATCTATTATATATAAAAATATATATGTATTGAAAGGTGCTAATCAACCTCAAGCAGGTCACGTGACTGGTCATGCGGATCTAAAATCATATCAGATTTTTTAAAAAATCTTCGATATATGCAGATGTTATACAGAATTTCTTACCAGTGTAATAATGATATACTGATGAATAAACAATCCTGCAGGTTTTTAAGGACAAGGTCAGCAATACTTCCCACCATGGCTTGGGGGGGAAAAGGATAGTTTTGTCTCCTTTTTGTATACAGCATAATGCACAATGCATTTTTGTCTATCTATTAGTAGCTGTTGCTTAAAAATATAGTTAAAAGGGTGTTATACAAACTGTAAAGGTGTGCTTTTGAAATGAGTTAATGCCAGACCCTTCTGGACCAGAGTTTTGTATCACTAATTAAAAAAACTGTTACAAAGTCTGTGGTCAATCAGATTGTATGGTATTTTGTAGAAGAGATTGGAATAATCAGTTTATCTACAGTGTTTCTAGGGCACCTACCTCCTCAGCATGCAAGTGCTGAAAATGCTATGGATTGTTTCTGTGTAAATGTGGGTTTATTTGTACAAAATGTGCAGTTCACTGTGACATGCACTGGGACAGAATAGGTCTGTTTGCTTAAAGCTAATCAACAATTGCTTTCACAAATGTCATTCCCTCATAGTTATGTTTATTACCCTTTTAGATATATTACTGGGTTTAGATACAGATTTTTTTTTTATTGTTATTTTATTTGGGGTACTTTATAAAAAGTTAAGGTACAACCAAGCAGTTAATTTCACTGTTTTTAAGTTGGAATGCTAATTTTTGTTAAGCGCTAATCCATTTGCCTTATTCCATTAAAACAATTTTATTTTTTAATTCTTTTGCTTAATGTTCCTAAAAGCCCTCTTCTATAAACTAAAGTTTAAAAAAAAAAATAATGGACTTGACATGAAACTATTGCTTAGTCGTGCCTCAAGTGGCCTTCCTTCTGTCTAGACTGCCGTAGCACTGATTTTTCACCATCTCAACCCCAAATGCTGGTCACAGCAGGGGGAGGGCACATGAGAGTCCTGACCTCAGATACACTATGAAATCAAGACAGTCAAATCCATTTTTGCACACCCTGGCGTTTGTATATGGACCTCTTTACTTGTCTTCAAATGTGCGGGTTTTTAAAATTGTTGTCTGGAGTAGGTTACATCTCTTGTGTGTGTTAGATCGAACCAAAGAAGCCTCCAGCCATGCCCAAATGCTGCTCCTAAAGCCTGCCTTCCAGTCCTTACAAAATCCCTGCAGGATTAAATGTGTTAACTTTTTTATTTTTGTACAGTTTCTAACTGATTTTTGCTAGTGATGTTAATTGAATTAAGTTTATGTGGGGAGTCTGAGTATCTCCTCCATTTAAATAAACTGGTGACTTTCCTTTTATGTTTAAAAAAAAAAAAAAAAGAAAAAAAAAAAGAAAAAAAGGAAACCCAAAGTGTGCCTCTCAGATTTAAAGGGTTTCTGGTTACATTTATTCTTAAGACCAGCAATGATTCTTTATATACAAAGATATGTTTTCCTCGTTTTTTATTACTGTTAAATAAAATAAAAAATAAAAAATAAAAACCTCTTTCTTTGCTCTGGACCCAGTAATTGCGCTGGTACATAAACGCACTGAGAAAACAAACTTTTGTTTGAAACTTTTGTAACAACTTATGACTGTTTTTGTATATCGAAGTTGATTCTTTTCAGAATATTTGGATCTAGTTTCTAAGTTATTTTAGTGTTTTATATGTTACAAAAAAAAAAATTAATTGTTCACCAGCATCTTGAGTTATCTGTAATGCAGTGGTGACACACAATGGGCTTAGGGCTACCTGGAGTAGCTTACAAAGCCTCTCTCTTTTCCTTCCTTTCTTAGTAACTTGATTGATTACAATTATATCAGATTACCTGAACCCCCTTCCTTTATTACTAGATCCTCCTTCCTTCCACATTTAATTGCTATTAGTGTGAAGAAACTGTTGAAATGGGCATTTTAATATAAGTATGGCTTAAAAAGATAAAATGAGGAAAAAGCAAAAAAAATTATATATATAGAAGGTTATCTGTGGGTCTGTGAGATATGGCTGTGGAAAGATATTGTAGTAGTTTTAACACTATTGTTATTACCTTTTAAATCATTTACCCAATAAAATAAGGAAAAAGAATCACCATTTCTTTTTATGTTTCTCTGCTTAATTGTGTGGCTTTGTCACTTTGTTTTTCTTTTTTTATTTACGCATTCGCAGTTACTGTTAATTTTAAAGGCTAATGCTGTGTTAGGAATATTTTCCTGTGATTAATTCTGTCTTTTCATTTTGCCTGCTGTAGGAACCAGTTGGACAGGTGCAGCTTGCAGTTGTAATTCAGACGTGAGTTACTGAGTACTCCAAATTATATCTGTTTCAGGTCCACTTTGGCAGTTGTTGCATCAAATTTTAAATATGGAATTTTGTCCAGTAAATACGGAATTATGTTTAAGATCGGGCCCCTTATTCTCTGAGAGGTGGAATTGGTTTCAAATTCTTTAAACGAAACTTGGTTGCAAAACCAGTTACACTGGTGTAACCAATACATTGCCTGTAACCAATACATTGCCTGTAAAGGAACATGAGTCAGCGGATTAATGCAGCAAAATGTGTATTAAAGAGTATCTTGCTATCACCTGAAATAATTTCAGTATTTTCTTCACATTACTCTCACAGGTGTGATTTGAAAGAATATCTAGGCTAGCTTTGTCATAAGGGGTTTCTTTATCTTGCATGACATAGATAGCTAATGTATAAACTGATACGTTTTATGGAAAAAAAAAGAGTGCAGCGTTTGCAGTGATTTTTGCAGGAGTCCTGTGAAATATGAAAGATCAAGTCCTGTGCCATTCCCCACAAAGCAGGGCTACTTTTAAAATTTTGGTTTGGTTGATTGTTTTGGTTTGGTTGGGTTTTCTTTCTTTTCTTTTTTTTTTTTTTTAATATTAGTTATTTTGGTTGGTTGTTTTTAGCTTAAGACTATTGGTGAACCAAGGGTTCAGGCACACTGCTTTCACTGGATCAGCTTAACTGTCAGCACCAGTTTTCAGTGGCCCTGGAGTACCTCTGACATGGCAGCAGAGCTTTCTGGGGTGTGCCTCAGTGGTTGAGGGAAGCTTGGCAAGTGTCAACATTGGTGTAGATACCCATGATATCAAGGGGATGTTTTATTTAATAAGGGCAAGGAGTGTGTTCCTGTGAAGCAACAGACCAACAATCCAGCTGATGGCAAAACGCAGGATGACCAGATGACAGGCATGTAAAAATGACATGGAAAACTGTTTCCTGAGCCAAGTGCCTAGTGTACTGAGACACATTTTACTGAGTTTAACTTAAAGGGAGTATGTTTTCCTCTGCAGGACCACAACTGAGACAGAGCAAGAAATTTCTAGTGTTGCCCTGGAATTCAGATCTGAATTTGGAAATTTTTTAATTAGCCTTTGGCTTATTCAGTTGTAATAGGTTACCCCCAAAAAAGTAATCTCTAGCTGTTGATGACTGATGCTTAAAGATTTTATTTTTAGAAGATCAAAATTAAAGGGATAAACCTGCTTGAGTAAATAGCTTCCATTGTGGTTTTAGTATTTTACAGATTTTGTATCATTAAATCAACCTGAAACTCACAGTTCATTGAGATGTCCAGCTAGTTAACTTCCCTACCAAAAGTTTCCTTCAGCCAGCGATGTAGTTAACACAGTACAAAAACAAACTAGCAAAATAATGCTGAGTATTGGGGATGTTTCAGAAGTGGTGATTTGCTTATTCTTACATATATGTTGATATTAAACAATGAAAAGCTGACTTACAATTAGAGTTGTTGAGTGCTGTAGAGGATAGTTAGCAGTGCCTGAAAAGGAAATTGCTTAGTTAGTTCATTTCAGGTTTTCAGAATGTACTTTACACTAAATTTCTACTTAAGCTGCTTTAAAGACTTATGTGTAAGGACGTACCAGTCTTTCAAGAGAATTTAAGCTGGGGAATTGGTTCTGTTCTCCAACTAGGTGAAAACTTAAAACATCTAAAATGCATATATAGTAAACTCAAGTGGGCATATCCAGTATTCTTTCATCAGGAAATTTACATAATGATCTAACTGGTTGTCTGAGACTGTACTGGGTCACAGTGTTTATTGCAGGGTACTTAAAAGTCCTTTTTATTATGGACAGAAACATTTCAGGAGTGCATTAATGATGGAACTTCTTTGCCATCGCTTATGGTGTGAGACTGGCCAGAATGCTACTGTAATTAATGTACTTAAAAATTTGAGCTGAAAATTTCTGTACTTTTTCTGTACTCCTCTCCTGAAGTGACTTAGAATTAAACAGGAAATTAAAAAACTCTCCACAACTGTGGTAAAGAAATTTGAAAGAAGAGTAGAAGACATCATAATACTGTTTCCAGAGCTTTTTTTCTTTGTTTTTTTTGTTTGTTTGTTTGTTTGTTTGTTTGTTTTTTTCTTAAACCCATGGGACATGGACAGAGAACATATGAATAGCAACTAAAGGATTTATGTCCTGCAGTGAGGTCTACCAGTAAACTCAGGCTTGGCTTGTGTTGATTGCTAGAATAACAGGCACAGGTCATACTCCAATGTTTAAAAGAAACTCTGGTAATCATTGTTCTCACTTAAAGGAACTGCTACCTGCAAGGTAAGCTACCTCTAGCAGTACAGATTGCTTAAAACGGGAGAGTCTGTATTTGATGATTTGATCTGATTTGATGCATCCCTCTATGACTAACTGCTAATATTATGAGCAGAAGTGGAACATCAACTTCGGTTTTCTTACTTAATTTCAGAAAATAATGATCAAGACAGACTCAGTGCCCAGCATGATTACAATGATGACAAAACTGTACAGTACTGTTAAAATGCATTTATTTGTTTTAATTCAAAGGTTTAACAACTATTTGCCCAGTGAGCTGGACTTAGGGTACAACAACAACAAAAAATCATCAGACCAAAATACAAAAACAAGTTCACAAATTACCCCTTATTTGTAAATGTTACCTCATTACCAAGTTTTAGCACATTAAAAAGTTACAAAATTTATAACACTCTTACAAATTATTCAGAACTAACAGCATACGTGGAAGTTGAGCCTCTCCACATCCATCCTTGCCCTTGCCATTCCATTCGGTGCCTGGGTAACAGCACACTTGAACTAGAGGGTTGGGTAAGAGGAACTGCAAGTTTCCAGAGACTGCTTTGTACATCAGTCCAGTACCTGAGCAATTCCAGCTCCCTGGCACAGTTTGGCTGGCAAGAGTGGCGTGGGTATGCTTACCGTTCTGCCTGGTGCATCCTCTGCAGCATTGAGATAATGACTCAGTAAATGCAGGAATAATTTAAAAAAAAAGTACAAAATTGACCCTGCAGAAAAATAACATCATTTTAAAAACAGCTTGGCTTTACTAAATTACTAAAAGCTGCAATACAGATATACAACAATAGCATCTTGAGCATGAGGTCACAAGAATGTACAGATTTGTTATGTATCTTGTCACTGTAGAAATGAAAACATTAACATTGACCTGTCTGCCTGTAGAAGCCTTCCAGCTACTAACAGAAGGGCTGACATATGCCCACCTTTTTTTATTTTTATTTTTTTTCCTTTTTAGAGCTTTTAATTCCTAAGAATCCACCACATGGATCACATGACAAGTGATAGGATGCAAAAAGGAAATGGTCTCATGTTGCACCAGAGGAGGTTTAGATTGGGCATGAGAAAGAATTTCTTCATGAAGAGGGTGATTGAGCATTGGACTGGGCTGCCCAGGAATGTAGTGGAGTCCCAATCCCTGGAGATATTCAAGAGACGCGTAGACATGGCAATAAGGGACATGGTTTAGTGGTAGGACTCCGTAAGTCAAGCTGATGGTTAGACTTGACAATCTTCGAGGTCTTTTGCAGCCCAAATCATTCTATGACTTGCAACAGCAAGAAAAACATCATCATCTACGGTTGCCATTAGGTATAGATGCATAGGAAACACATGCCTGTAGTTTAGATGCAAGAATTAGGATCTAAGAGTAAAATACAGTACTTGAACAGTTGCAAGTAGCCACTTCTGAAAGGAAAATACCATTAGGCTTTACAAAATATTATCAAATATACAGAAATATCAAAACCCTGATTGTGGCCGGAGACCAAGGGGTAGATCTACAATGAGGTACTGTATAAAATAAAGGTATGCAAATAAACTGACTTTTTGAGTCTCCCAGCTTCAGCAATGTAGCTATACTTTAAGCACAAACGACTTGAGAAATGCTGCTTGTAATTAAAGCCCACAAGAAGCTGAACCAAACCCCAAGTATGGGTGTTGTGGTCACAGACAGGGGTTCTCATTAATTTTTAAGTATGATCAAGAACTGGTAGTTTTCACCCTTCAAAAAGAAAACAAGATGCAAATTCTTTGGTGCTTAAAGAGAAGGAAGTTACACAAAACAGATACAGCTCAAATACTGCCTACAGTGTCTGAATCCTAAAAAAAAAAAAAAAAAAAAAAAAGAAGTAAAAAAGATGCTGCATATGTCCTAGACAGCTAAAGCCTTGGCACAATCGCTGACACAATAATCTCAGTATTCACAGGCTATCACCTGAAGTTATGGTGGATGCAGAATGTGTAGTTGCTCGTTTTTATGCTTTGGAGTGCTGCATAAACAAACAATCTGATCCGTAAACAATTTTACTGTAGTTACTAGTGCTTCATTGATGTCTACACCTGGAAGGAAGTTTAGACTGTCACTTGCTGGCAGAAAGGATAGTCATTCTCATTGCTCCTTGTTTCTTTTGTTTGGAGTGTCCGTGTACTAAAAATTGGAATAGAAGGCTGTGTTCAGACAGCTGAACACGTAACTTAGATGAAATGAAGCATCACACAATAATTTTTTCTGGTATTGTACATGACTCGTTCATGGTCAGCAAATCAAGCCATTTCAGGGTGAGGTTTTGTAACCAAGCCTAAGCACTTCTAAAATACAGGCCCCTACTGAAAGGAACAGTCTGTCGGGCTATATGGGCAGCCTCTGGCTGTGCACCATATGTGCCCCTAGTATCTTCATAACTGTTAGCACTGAGATAAAAGACTCCAGAACATCTGACTAGGGAGGGCCAGGACTACCCTTCTGCTCACACATCGCACTGCTCCAGTGTAAAACCTCATAACCAGGTAGTGGGCAACAGCTTGAATTTCCTTTGACATAGATTGTGTCCATGATGCCACAGGAGAGAATGCTGATCAGCTTTTAAGAATAGCAACATAGTTTCACTCTTTAATTTCCAACATAAAAGCAACCAGAGAAATCACCTGTACAGCATAAGTGCCCATAAAATAAACTACTAGAGGAAAATAAAATCTGCCAGGGAAGAAAACATATTCCTACATGGAGGTTAAGTGTTCTGCTTTCCTGTTCAAACTAATATCCTACATACTGAACAAGCTCTGTAAGATGCATCTTCCAAAAAGCTACCCGAGACAGCTGGGGAGTAAGGGATGTGAAGTTCATTCCTTTTCTGCCCTGTTCTCCATACGTGAAGCTCACGTCTCAGCTGTGCTGACACAGCTTGCTGGGGAACCATCCCATAAAACAAACTGAAATACCATGTTTAAAAATAACCTTCAGAAAGGGGCAGGGGGAACAATAACTTGGCCAACTTCATCAGTAGAAGACATTAAGCGAAGAAGTCAACACAGCTTGCCGTCACAAAGAGGTGCTGACTGCTGCCCTCCCTCGTGATCCCAGCGGCACCAGTCTTCTGACCCTCAGAACAGCCTTACTTAGGGTAGTGGTTTAACTCTCTACTTCTTTGCTAAATTACCACATTCAATTAGCCATTTTAGCAACTTCAGCAGTTCAGACACCAAAACCTGCACAGGTGAGGTGTGGAAAGGGAATACGAGTTTCCCTTTGGCTGTGATGAACTGTTCTGTCAGCTGTTGTGAAGTTGTGCCCAGAATGGTGAGAAGACCGGGAGGCCCAGCACAAGACAGAAACCAAACGGCCCTAGGGACTTTGCCATAGTGGTGGCTGTACTTGAAGTCACCACTCCTGCTCTTCAATTTTAAGTCAGTCAGAAGGGCTTTGCATTCCAAGAAAAGAGCTTGCACTGAAACACCTGAGCTTATGTAAATACTTCTGCAGTCTTAATTGACCAGAGGCAGTCACTGGTGAGAAAGAGGAGCTGTTTTATACCTGGTTAGAATGAGTGCCCTGAAGCACAGGACTGCAGAAGATAGGAAATACTGGCATTTTTTTAGGGGGGGAAGGAGAGGGAGGAGAAGGCGTTACTCTCATGTAATTATTTTTTTTTCCAGTAGCTTGAATATTATATTCTGAAGAAAAAAAATAAACAGGATTCTTCAAAAAATAGTGATTAAAATTAAGTAAATTATAATGCTAGTGTTTGCAAAATTTGGCAAAATCATCCCACTGTTACACCAAACATTCTTTCTAAAGCAGACTAGATCCAACCCAAGGCATTTTGCCAAATTAGTAATAAACAAACCAAGATACAGTTGACTAACTGTGGGGAGGGCAGAAACACTACATTTAGCTGTTCATAGGAGATGAAGTATATTAATAGAGAGCACGCTTTAACATCCAGCAGTGCCCATCTTAGCATCTCCCAGCAACATCCTGTATTTCATCAACTGCAGATGCAATACTGACTCTTGAAGTACTTCAGCAGCTAATTAAGTGGTCTTCCACAGATGGGTTCAAGCCTTTAGTACCAATGTATTTTTTCTTTAGGCCCCACACTCCACAACTACTTAGGCAACATATGCCCAGCTTCACTGAGGCAGTAGTGGGATGCTCAGCGAAGTTCAGTACCTACTTAGACATTTGCAGAATCAACAATTGCTAGTGAACTCTGTGATACTTCTTAGTATCAGGTACTTAGTCTTCTCAACCTGCACACTGAGTAAGGGCACATGGAGTAGTGTAGTCTATAACAGGGACAAGCTATCCATGCTTGACAGATAGTTTAGATTGCTCTCATGTTCTCAGGTTGTGATAGTACAGGGTATTTAGTTTATAGGCATGGAAGAAAGCCAGAATCGAGTTTGTAAATTTAAATGTAGAACAAAGTACATCTAACTGGGATCTACTTTTTTTTTTTTTTTAATAAAACCATGTGGAGTGAAAAATATTTGGAGAAGCCATTTGTTCCCTTCTCCAATGAAAACTTATCTTACAAAAAAGAAAAAAGAAGTCAACCACTTATCATTCTTACTTTTCTTCTTGAGGTATAAATGACTGTACCTTCACATCAGAGTATGTATTCGGGTGATCCATCCAGAGGAGGTATGATGGTTTTGTTTTTATCTTACAAGTCACAGCTACAACAATACAATGCAAATAATCTATAAATGGCAACAAACTTCTGTACAACAAAATTCCTGCAGCCCTGAAATGCTGCACAACAATAGGCTTGCAATTAGCTATCTGGAGGCACACAGTAGAGCCCTCCCAGCTTCCTGCCCAGCAGTTTCTCCCCTTAGCCAGTTTACTATTTATAATTCTGTCTACCTACATCCTGTTCTACTCCAAAACACAGGTTGACAAGAAAATTTAGTCATACTAGTAAACTGGAACACAGCTTTTTCAGTCCTGTGCTAACGTGACATTCCTTTTTGTACCTATATTTTTAAAAAGTGTACAGAATGTATTAGAGTCAAAGAGAAAGAAAGTTTCATTTTGTTTCCTCATTAACCACTCTATTAAGGATCAGGGTAGAACACAGGAGGAATGTTTCAAGATACTGCAAGTTAAAAAAAAAAGAAAAAGAAAACTGTTTACATTGGACTCTGTATTCCCACTCTCTCTCCAATCTAAACTAAGTGCCAAAGAAAACATTTTGTTTAAAGGCAGGTCAGAGCAGTGGATGAAATATCTATCGTAGCTTACACATAATGTGGGCTTTTGAAATTATTTCAATATGTTCTTCCAATCCATCAAGAAGCATCTCCAAAGGATCAAGATCTGATGGGACCTTGGCAGACAGATACTTACCCCCAGCAGCTTAAGAAACGAAGTAGTCAGATAAAAAAAATCATGATTTTTGAAAGAATTATTGTTCCCCAATATTTTCAACCAGCTTAATGAAAATACAGTAGAACCTCACTGTTTTGCACCTATGACTGGGAGATCACATGTACATCATTCCACTATGACCATTTTGCAACATTTAAGTGCTAAGAGTTAAGCCAGGATGATGCACTTCAAGCTGCGTTCTGTTCACATCAGTGGAGAGTTGTAATTCAGCTTTCCTTCCTATTCTGTGATTATAACTGCACTCATGTTTAGTGGAAAAGAAGTCAAAATGAGGTAGCACTGCCACTCTCTTTGCTGGAATGTGGACAGATCCTGGCCTAATTTTAAAGGGTGGATTAGCAAGATGATTCTACTGTAATCTGCACAAAATGTATAAAACACGAACCTTTCCCAGAATAAGGCCACTAATTTTGCCATTGGCAATAGGCAGTGAGAAACAGCAGTTAAAAGAAGAACCCTCAATTGATAACAGAGGTGTTTTTGAGGCAATAAACTGTGGGGAGAAATATAAACACACAGTCTTCTCATCCCTCCTCTTTGTTTTCCAGTATGAATACAGGTGTCTCTGCTTCCTGTATGTACTACTCCATGGGGAGAAATTTCAGTCTATTTTCTTAGCGGGGAGTCTAAGTAAGTCCACGCTACATTTAAAGATGGGGACAGCACTGTAAAACAGCAGAATTACAAGCTTCCCATGAGTCATAGTCATGACTGTCTGGTGTCCAGATGCCCAGATTCGATACCAGCGCCCATAAAAAGGATCTGAGATGGCTGGGCATAACATGTTGTTCAAATTCACTTCTGTAACCTAGGGAAAGGGACAACAGATTTATAAATTAACAATATTTTGTGTTGCATTGGTTCAGACACTGAAAACGGTAATTTACCATAATGATCAAAATTGCTTAGATGACAATCCTTTGTTCAACACAAACAGTGCAGCTTTCATAAGCAAAGCAGATCTGAATTCAGCTGTGCATTTAATAGATGGATTTATGCAGGTACATAGTTGATTTATGAGAGGCTTTGCCAATACTTGTGAGATACGAGATACAAGTGTCCATTAGAACATGCAATTAAAAATCTGCACACAAGTCTTACCCGTGCCTATATATCTGGACACCTGGAAAAACTAGTCAGTGTTTCTACTTTCAATGTACTTGCAAACTATCCATTTATTAACCCGTGTTTACTTACCAAACCCAGAATCTGCAAGATGCTAAAATGATATACAAACATAAACCCAGTAGATAAAAGAGCCCACCAGAAATTGGAGAGTGGTTCTGGAGTGTAGATACCTTAAAAAGAAAGGAATACATTAGTATTCAGTTAGTATTCAGCTGAATTGCTGTGTCCATCAAACACTCATGAATAATCCTCTCTTTTCTCCACTGTGGATGCTAGGGCATCTGGCTTTAGCTGATAACTTACTGAATACCATTATAATAATTAATATTGGAGTGCCTTCTTTTTTACCTGGATCATCCTGATCATTTTCTTCCCTCCTCCTGGTCCAGCATTAAAACATACATTGTATTACCTTATTATTTTGCCTTCTACCACAGAAATAACATACTCCAAAATACAGTAATGGTATACAAGGAAGTTTTCAAAAATCACATTATTCGTACTTAAACACCTGCTTCTTATGGGGGCTATGACTTAAGCATGCCCAGAACTAATGCAGGCAGCAGCAGTTAATGTGCAGTGCTGTATTACAGCACAGACAAACTGACATGTCCTATTTTATAGTTGTTCAACAACTATTAAAAAATAACTTGTGCCAATAATGCATAGGAACAGAAGAGCAGAAGAGCTGTATAAAGCAGTCAAGCCATTAATGACAGGCTGCTTTTAAGTGAAAACTGCTGTGGAGATATTTTCAGATCTACCCTGAAAACACTTTTATAACCAGGTATCACAGATACTGTAAAATACTTTTCCCCCTCAAATGAAGTAGCAAATACCACATTTTTCCTGGGCTCATGCTTCTCTCAACTCCTTAAACGAGATTTTTGTCAACTTAGTGATAAAACAACAACATCTCACATGATCTAAAGTGGACCAAAGAAGTCAGATCTAATAAAAGTATCCTTAGATACCAGACAATTTTTGGAATTAAATATTCCAACATTGCATGTTGATAACAAAAACAGTGTACAGAGTTGTCAGGCACTTATTAGCTGACACGAAATCTTCAGTTTAAGACTGGGAAAATAACTATTTTCTGTAAGACTTTAATAACCTAGGGACGCAAAAGAAAGATATGCATACTGTCATACCACTCAACTGCTACAAAAAGTTGTTGTGTTTCAGACAATTAATACACCATTTTTATCTACCTTTGCACTCCCTGACCCATTAGATGTTATTAAACATTGGAATGAATAACCAGTACTCAAAGGATGGCTTACAGCACAGGGTGCAATATTCATATTAGCCTTTGCTAGCTTGCACATTCAGTAATTACCAGGAAGATTTAACAGATTTCGGCATATGCTGTACAACACTACTGGGAACTCAAATTTAACTACACATACATAGCTAGCTATGACAGTACTCACCAGACTACAGCTGGTACGAGTGTATCTATGTAAAATAGTATACATAGGCAAAGGCAAATAACTGCTGTTATCTGCTTTACCACACCACTGTATAGGGGTGCATGCTGTCTCAGTTTCATAATCCCTAGAGGATTGCTTTCTCAATCCCCGCTGTGCTTTTAAAATTCTCTGCACAGTTTTCTTCCACAGTATATGCATCATGCCAATCTAGATTGATTTTGCAGCAGCTACTTGTAGTAATATAATTTAAGTAGAATTTTCTCAAAGTTGCAATATTCTTACCAAAATTACCTATACTTTACATTCTAAAACTATGAGTATTCATTGTCCACTCAATGTAACATAGTTTCTCTGTTGCTAGTCGACAGAGTGAGGAGTTGATAGTATGCTTGACTGACAGCAGCACATATGACCCCATATATCACTCACGGTGACTTCAATGAGCAGTAGTATCAGTGTAATTATCCAATATACAGCTGCACGCTGTAAGCAAACTGTTACTAGGTGCTACCAAGACAAACAGGAGCAGGGAAGCTACTTTGAAAGCATAAGGCAGCTTATAAGATTTCTTATCAAGTGGGTGCGTGAAGGTCAGATGCAGTGTCTGAACTATAAGCAAAATCCCAAGGTACAAGACTACATGAGTAACCTTAAGTGGAGTCCTCCTGCAGTTAAAAACAGAAAACTCACACCAGTCTACTTAGAGCACGCTTGCTACATATGTCAGAAGTGCTGGCATCCTATTTAGAAACCAGTACAGGAGGCTTCACTTAAATAGCGAGATTCATTTAACTCCCCTGCCTGAAAACATGAGTAGGGTGGCAGGTACGCGATACTACCTTGCAAATAGTTTTTCATTGTAGACAGCAAGAGAAGAAGCAATTAGCCTTGGTGTTGCAGTTTAGAAGACCATAGCTCTATTTTTGGCTATCCCACCAATTTTGAGTGACCTGCTCAAGCTACAAAGAAAGTCTTTGTACTACCTCCCCAGCTGCAGGATAAAGAAAACATACTTTGACTCGCAAAGTTTTTTTTTTGTTGCTTATGCAGACTTATGGGCATGTTTAGCCTAGATGCAAAACATGAGATAAAATTTAAATAAGGTATAGAAGAAGAATAGTTCAGTTGGAAGCAGCCTACATAGATCAAAGTCCACCTGCCTGATCACTTCAGGACTAAACAAAAGTTAAAGCATATTTACTGAGGGCATCATTCAGGTGCTTCTTGAACACGGACAGACATGGGGCATCTAAAACAGCTTCCAGAAACTGGCAGAGTAGTGCTATATCATATTCAATTTCACATGAACTTGCCTAGTTGGCAGCTGCTTACGTTATAACAGAAGTTTCTGTAAAGTCTGAGAACAGATTCTAAAGAAGTAAACACTCAGAAAAACTATAATAGACCTCAATATTGGGAACGATTTGGGAGACCTACAGTGCAGTGTGTAAACACTGAAATAGACAAGTGAGCCTAACTATGAAACAGGATTGGTGGGAGAATACAGTCATTAAAAGACCCAAGTATTAGTCTTTTAAGTAAAATTGCACAAGATTACAAAATGGATCAGTGACATAGTTTGGCTTTGAAACGCAGCTTCTTGTGGCCAGCTCCAATCTAGTGAAGGAATCATGTTTCAGAAGTCACTTAGGAGAACTGTTCAGGTTCCTACAGCTGTGAATTTCACACTGCTACATCCTCTCTTTGTTCCAAGACTTAAAAGGAGAAAAACATGGTGACTCTCACCCACTACAGACTCTCAATCTTGCTATATAAGAGAAAATTTCCTCCTTGCTAGACTTTGCAATCCTGAGAACGATAGTGTGATTTTCAGCAGTATCTTTATCTGGACATCAAGGGACAAAAAGGAAACAATGACCTCCACAGAAAAGCATTTCAGAGAGCTTTGGATTCCCACATGCATTTGGGGGAACTAATTTTAAATTAATACCTGGGATATTTTCTGTACATTTGTCACTGAGTAAATAATCACTATAGATTTTATTACTGTACTGTCCTGCTATTTAACAGATGCCTGCTTAACAGAGCAGTGTGATCTATTTTCTATAGTACACAGTCTGCTAATGAAAACATACAAACAGGAAAATTGAGATCCAGCTGAGTGGCTGTTTGAATGGCCTGTGTTGTCTTTGGCAAAAGCTATTTGCTGCTTACACGAGAAATCAATTTCAATATGTGGCAGTGAGTTTCACTATCTCTCTATCCACAAAGGATCACAGGCAGTTCTTATACGTTAAGCACTTTCAAAAATTTAATCCAGCTGCCAGTCTGGCACTAATCTCATTCTCGGAAACGCTCATGCCCCAGACAGTTGAGACTGTTTCAAATCAGGGTCATCCAAGTAGGCTGTATGTTTGTTCCTGTGTTGAAATAGCATGGCAGTGCATCTTTCAGTTTAGATTAAACTTCATTATTTCAGTAGCACTGATAGGAAGGACTTCATATAGGTTGAGGGCCTTGGGATTCTTCATCGGCTTCTGCAGCAAGGAGTTGCGTGACCTTGAACAAGCTATGCAGTTAATTTTGCCATTTACAAAATGGAAGTGTGGCTTGAATAATCTAAAGATCAACACAGAGACTCAATTTATTTTATATTGGTTTCCATCTTCCCCTGCAAAGTCTTGTGTTAGTTGCAGTGTTATAAATGTCTAGTGTCTTAGGAATTACTGATATTTATTTAAAGTTATCAAATAATAGGATCGTAAAAATTTGAATGCAATTTACTAGAAAGGAAAACAGAATGCAGTACAGTTATTCCTGCTTGAATAGGAGAATTAGAACCTAAATACAGTATATTTTTTTAATTTGATAGGGTTTAAAAATAATCCCTCTTTCCTAATTAATGTCTTGCTTTATTTGCTACTATATTTAATAGAGATGTTTCAGTTTTCCGGCCCCAAACATTCTCCTTTTGTAGTCTCCTAACTAGAGCTATACATACTTGATCCAGAACTCTGAGCAACTGTTGCAATTCCTTCATTTTCAAGCTGTAAAAAGGCGAGGGCAAACTTAATTCCGTTTTATTTCCCTTAATCAAGGGGTTAATTTCAATAGTGTATTTTGATCTATTGAGCTAGCCTAAAGAACGAACTTCCTTTCCAGGGGGAGAACAGAAAAACTGTTCTCCAGAGGATGAGCTAGTTATCACCTGAAATCTGCAATTTCCCCTACAGTTGTTCTGAATTTATGGGCAGATTTCAAAACACAACCTTATACCAGGAGATTTTTATTCCCCAACCGTCAGCTACTCTTGTCAAAATCACCTTGGACAGGAGATCTTGTATTACTTGCTCCTGTCAGGAGCGACTTTTGATAGTCCATAAAGAAGGCTCTTCCTTTTCCTTCACATTGTTAGTCATTCTTCCATATACTGGTAAAAATAAAATAAAATAAAATTGCTCAACTTCTCAGTCTCTTGCATGTAGAGGGAAGTCTTTAACAGACCTTGGGCCCAGTCAGAACATCCTTTTTTAGCTCAAGTGTTTCACAGTAGGAACTGCCCAGTGCATGAAGCTCAGTGGGTCACGTCACAGACACTGTCTCCTCCTCTTCCTCTCCAGCTCTCTTAAATCTTCGAACAAGACCAGCTTGAAATGCTCGAGCTGCAGAAGAGCCTGCAGCCCAGCACACAGCTCCAGCTGCCAAGTGCCACAGCTGCCCTGCTGCTCCAAGTGCCAGCTCTCAGCACTGCTGGGCAGCGGACCAGTCACTTATATCTAACACGTGGGATCCGGGAGGCAGAGAAAAGCTGGAACAGTAACATGGAAGCTGTCAGCAGGAGAGCAGGAACATAATCGGATGAGAGTGAACCTTACACAGTGCACAAGAGTCAACAGCTCTCTAAGCAGTTAAGAGTTTCAGTGGAAGAAATGAAACCCTTATTATAAAGTATTTCACTGAGAGGGAGATAAACGTGGTTTGTAACTATCTAACTATATTCAAATATATGGCCAATTCTTCCTGGATTGCTAAGGTATATAATTCCCAGCAGCCAGAGAAAAAGCAAAAGTTTAATTCCCTAATTGCTTTAATTCTACCTCCCTAGTTTACAGCTACAGAAAAAATGATCCTTCCATCTGTACTTGCTACCTATGTTCTACATCTCATAACTGAGCCCGGCTTCTTGTTAGGTAAAAACCACCGCCTGCCCTTAAGGAAGCTGGCTAGCCAGAGCAGCTTCTGTCTGCCTTCCGAAGGGTGACGATGGTGTGCTTTGTTGCAGGGGGAGGTTCGTCAACTTCTATGGGCTTTCTCACAGTGCTACAGAAATTAATCTGTTCTGATGCCACCTTTGAAGACAATTAGATCAAAAAAGAAAAAGGCTTCGTGACCTGAGCCAGAGAGATGGTTTCTTTACTGCTCATGATGATACAGAATTGCCTTATAAGCTGAATATTCTCACTCTGCTCCCAGCAAACAACTTCCCTACTGAAGTACTGAGGATCAGTATGTCTGTCCCTCTGTGCTCAGCTCTCAAAAGGAGATGGGGCCAGCCTACATGGCTGTCCAGAGTTTGCTCCAAAAAGGTGTTGTGTTTTTTTTTCCCTTCCCTAAAATACCACCAAATTAATTTACTCTCTCCACAGAGTGGATGACCTACGTTTCAACTGTGAATTTTGAGAATTTGCCCGGCCATTTTAACAGAACGGATGCTAGTGACCATCTCCCCCTGCAGGTGAAAGTGTCAAATCACGTTATAATTGACACCAACATAAAGGGCTCTAATTAACCACACTAGATCTTCAGATCCATAGATCAAATTGCTCCTTAAAGTGACAAAACCCTAAAAATACCCGACACCAACATCCTTGCCTACTTCACTAAGTTACTGTAAAGTCTACTAAATAACACTGGGGATCTCAAAACACATGAAGGATGATCTCAACTCTGCTGTTAGGAAGCCCCTACAAATCAACCCTTATTCCAAACTTCTGTGGAGTGACCAATGCTCACAGTCCCCAGGAAACAGCAATTCCACTTTGATCAAACTTCAAAACTATCTGAAACTCTGAAATCAGGTGCACATCTAATCTTGTCAAATCCATCCAAAAGCTGACCAAACTAGCTTACGGACCAAGACGGTCAAAAACTGAGAGACCTCTGAGGCTGATGGAGCACAAAGTAGGTTTTTTTCATCATGTTATGAGCTGGCAAAACCAAGTCCTCCAAAAAGCACTGAAGGTGTCTAATACTTTGATCTTAGAAGGTCAGGTTAATGCACTGTTGAAATAGCTTTGACAGTTTGAGACATTACACTTCCTCAGCTGCCATCTCCCTGAGCCTTCTGCCAGCTGTCTGTATCCCAGTAGCAAAAAACAGACTCACCCGAGTACACTCATATGCTTTAGAAGACAAGCTTAGTTGTAACTGTAGATGAAAGCGATTTGAGGACTTTTCAATGAAGGGGTTGGTTCCCTGGTCTCAAGTCATGCTGCTGTGGTTCCCGTCTTCTTCCCTCCACCCTGATAATTCCTTTCTTGCACCTCCCTTTTGCTAGTCCCAGCACTCATCTGATCCCGCTATAACCCAACTCAGGAGCTACAAAAGCATGCACACCTTCTTCCACACGGAAATGAGAATCTCACCTCCTGATGACTAGAGGAAACAGTGAGTATATCCACAATTCTACATCCATTCTATTGCTCCGCTTCAACCTATTCAGCTGTTTCAGGAATGTTGTGTCCTGCCAGAGGCACAGAACAATATTTGGCAGGGTTCACACATGTTACAAGGTAAGATTCATCCAGCAAGAAAGCTGAGAATTGCAGGTCTGTTTCATGCATGACCTGCCTTGAGTTTGGCTTCTCTGTTGAACTGCTCTATCTGAACTACCTCCGTTCTGCATGAGTGCCTCTTATTGCAGGTCAGAGAGATACGAGCTATATCATTTATTCTGTCTCAACTGGCATGTGTGTGTATGCATACATGTGTGCACTTGGAACGGAAATATGTTAGAAGGGGAAGTAATGCAATTTGTATTCAATCAGTACAGAGGGCAGGGAGAAGGAAGAAGAGAGAAAGATGTGTTAATCCCTAAAGGGGAATACACCTCGAGCACGGAGCTCTCAGTGAGCTCACTGCGCAGCACTGATGAGAAATGTTCGAACTCAGCCTTCAATTTGATCCTGCCGTTAGTGAAGCCCCCACACTGACAGGGGTGAGGCAGGAAGGTGATGCTGCCAGTGCAACATGACCTGTTTCCACTGCTGTAATGAACAACAGGGAGAGAGAGAAAATAAAGGATTACAGCCCTCACTTACTGTCCCCCAGTTTCCTGTCCAGAAGGAAACACTTTAAGAGTTAACTGAGCCTGGGTGCGTGACTGTAAGGTGCTCAATAAGCATGCCAACATCATTCTGTATAGACTGAGCCTCACATCATCTCCGCTCCAGGTGTTCTGCTCAACCCTCCTTAGAGGAATGTTAATGCTGGGACAGAGGTCATTTTAGGGCAAGCAGTAATATCAGTAGGTTCCCAATAAAGCTGGAGAGGGATCATTTTTCACATGCAATCTATTCACTTCGTTTTTCCATTTTTACTACGCTTCAGTTACTTCTCCCAGCTATAATCTATAGATTTGCCAACAGAAATTTCTATTTAAAATATAGAAATAAACCAGCATAATGATACATGTCAGTAATAAAGCAATCTGCCCAGGACACAGCTAGGTTAAAGGGTATGACCTACTCAAAGCACTTTGAAACAAAGGTGCCAGTTAAATGATGAAATGCTAACAAATGTTTTTAGGCTCAGTAATTGTTACATCAAAAATCATATATTTAATCTCATGTGGCATTAGCTGTAATTAGTACAAAATTACATGGGTATTTTACTAAAGAGTCACCACAGTCAGACAGGCAACCAAGAGACAAATGCAGTAGGAAACTGAGGAGTTATTAGTTACACAGTCTGAGGCTATCTCAGCCAAAATATTTAGCCAAAGTCCTCTTAGAAATTTCACTGCTACCATGTCAACATTAGATGGCAGCAAATACCTATAAATCAATAAAGGGCAAAAATTTAGGAAACTACACGAGGGTGAGAACTGTACAACACAAAGCCCTCCAAACTACAAACGCAATCCTCTCAGTCCCCAGGTAACAGGCACTGAAAAAAGAGAGAACCTTTAATTAAAAAAGTAGAAATATAAATGGGAGACCACAAGTGACATCCAAGGCCAAACTTTAAAGCAGAACAAGTATACATCATAAAATGACATGTTCTATGATATCTTCTATGTTTTGATGTCTTCAAGGACATCAGAAGAAGTGGTTTGGTGACATCACAGGAGCCTCGCACATTGTTGCCTACTGGATACTACATGGCTGTGCACACTTCTTTCCCCCTCCCTGCTCCACCATGATTACAAGTTTGTGTAATTTCTACATCTACACTGCACTCAGTCTTAAATTCTGGCAAACTATGCTACCAAATACAGATTAAAATGAAATGTGGCTGGCATATTTCACTAGTAAGAGAGAGAAATTGAGTGAGCTTTGGAATGATGGTACTTCACTTTCTGCTCTGCATTGTTTTTACTTAGTTTCACTCAGGAGTGAAGAACAAACAGAAATTACAAACCTGTAGTGCAGGAAGCGCAAAGAACTGCACGTGACTGCTGGTATAAAATACAGCAGATTGACTGCAGTGGAAGGGGCCGACTAAGCTCATTTGGAGCATTTGTTAAATTGTATTCCATTGCTTGACATCACATCCCTGCATTGTCATTAGAGGCTACTGAACATCTGGACCATAAATTACACTCATTTCCTGTATGAAACAATGTAGGTGTGCTAGAAAATGCAGCTGGAGGCCTATCAACGCTAGAGGGGGACAGAGCAGCACACCAGAGGAAGACGTCCTGCATTAGCTTCTAGAAGGCCAGAGTAGCACTGGTCACTGAAATGATGTGGGATTCCCAGACTTGCTGAACTATTAGAGTATAAATTAATGCAAGATAGTAATCCTGTAAGAAGAGAGATCAAGCAACCCAGCTTGTTTCACTTGCATGTTTCATTAGCACTTCAGAATTTCAGGAATTTATCTGACTAGGTGACTAGTATTTACCCACGGATCTAATGACAAAAAAAAAGATTTTTTTGAGCTCATTTTAGCTGCAGTACTTCTCAAGTGACATCAAGAAGGCAACAGTCTTAAAAAATACACCACACAAACAACTTAGAACATTACAAGATGGCAGAGACTACTCAAGAAGACACCACCTTAGGCCAACACATTCTAGATACCCCTTTGGGCAAAAGACCATCTTTTTATTCCCTCGTTTCAACGCCTGGCACAAGTCTTTGTTATTTGTTATCCAAGATGCAACACCAACACGCCACCAGAAACCATTAAGTAACATCATAGAGAAAAATGACAAAAAAAAAAAGAGAGTAAGAATAGGATCTGTGGTAACCATTGAGCACAGCTTGTTCATTGTGTGGGACCAATTCAATATGTGAAGGGTAAATTGCCAACCTACCTCCTTTCCGCAGCAGATAGATGGGCACAACATAGAGCATCACATGCTGGATGTAATAAATTTCCATTTCAAATGGAAGCTGAGGAATAAGGAAAATATTTGTAAATGTTTTTCATCATTAACAACCAGAACCATTTTCCTTATGCCCCATGATAACGCGTTCAGTTCAGTTACATCCCCTACATATAAGAACAAAGCAATGACAGCCGTTAATGGCTAGTGCTTGGAAAGCACAGCTAACTGCACCCAGTCCTTCCCCCTTGCCACAAACACAATGCAGCACTTCAAGTAGAGAATTCTCAAAATTAGCCAGCAGCACAACAAAGGAGGCATAGCACAAGATTGCTCTTTTCCTCATTACTCTAAGTTTCCAGTAATGGTGCAAAACCCCAAGGTAATTAAAACAAAGACTATACACACACCATATGACAGTAGCCTAATTATAAAGAAATGTTAACTGCAAGCTTGTAAGTTGCAGAAGTCTACAAGGAGGTCTTTTTCTTACAACCATACATAAAAGTAATTGCTGAGGGCACCTGTACAAAAATAAAAAGAACTGCTTCATAGCAATCTGCATGCATTTGTGAAACAGCCAAGCCTCTGTTAAAACCAATAATATGCAACAGATTATATCAGTCGGTCTTCAAGCTGCAGCAGTATGCACATAAACAAGTTACCAGTTAGCGGTAAATCCAGTATTCCTCACCCGCTGACAACTTTGGGAAAATTAAAATTAGTCATCTGACGGTTTAGTTGAATTCATGTTGCCTTTTACAGGAGGTCAGACTATGCTGAAGTAATATTGTGCTGAAAATAGCTTGAAGCACAGCTCCGAGTTTAATCTGAACCCCTTAATCCCAGTCCAACTAATTCTAGCTCTTGAACAGTTAGAAAAAGTGATGCAATGTATTTGAAAGTCAATCCCATCTGTAAACGTCTGTGTGTATATACTGATTTGTTGAACTGGAGCAACACATTTAACACTGACAAACAGCAGGAAAGATCCAACTCAAAATACAGAATTCAACTTCCCAGTGCAGCTCCCTTACAAAGCTGAAAAGACATACCTCTCTACTGCATTTCCCATGGAAAACTGGACAACATTACAGCCTGAGTCTGAAGTCTCACAGGAGTACCAGAAAGCCATTAGCTTTGGTTCAAATACAGTATCATTCTGCAGGCTGAAGTGAAACAAGATGCAAATACTACTCCTATGGCACGTGTCCACATTAAAAAATAAATCATGATAATCAATTTTAAAAAATCAAGAGCCTCCCCTTTCTATTGTTGTTCCAAGACACTGAAGTCATAACATTGAAACAGAAACATTACAAGAACTTCTACATCAACAGAACATAGGCTGAAGCAGTTTATGTTTTTCCTCGAGAGTCAGTCAATAAATAGTAGGTTAACAATATAGCGAGCTCTGAAATTCTACAAAAGTTCTTAGATTTTATTTTGAACATAAAAGATATTATAACCAACAGCTGGGTTCTGTTAGTCTTGCCATCCCCAAGCTGAACACTATCACTGTCCTGTTTGCAGACTCCAAGATGTTCAGCCAACTGCTGGGAGACTAAGCTAAAAAAATCTTCAGTACAATCTGTTGGGTTATCTTCTCCCAAGTATCAAAATATAAAACCATGTGAGATGATGGTATGCAAAAGCAAGAATTTCACAGGAGTTGTGAGGTTTCCTGTATCTGAACCTGTTCTTCTGTCACCTGTTGAAAGACACCAAGTGCAAAGCAAGGGGCTCAAAAATATTCAGGAAGAAGTTAACGAAGTTTGCCTAACTGGAGGAAAAAATCGGTACCCCCCTTCCAGGTGGGGCGCACACACTTCAGGAACAATAGCTCCCAATATAAACAGCACAGCACGAGGCACTCGCTCCTGCCAAGGAGCAGTCTCTATTCAGTATCTGTGCTTTCAGAAGGGCTTCTGCGCTCGCCGAGCTGTGAGGGTCAGTTACACAAACATGACGCTCAGGACACTTCTGAGAACAGAGTAATGGTTGTTTTGCTGCAGTAGCATTGACAGTATTTTTGTTTGCGTGAACAAAACATCATTTTTTCCACTATGAAAGATTGGTTGTTCTGAAACCTGGCTAATTCGGCAAGTGCATTTCCTCATATCGAACCGAAACGCCGCGTTTCGGTACAGCCAAGCACTCAAGCTGTACAGGCAGGCTACAACAAACAGAAAAAGAGCAAACACAAAAGATGAACTACGAAGTTATACACAGCCACTGACTCGCCTACCTCTAAGGTCTCATCTATAAATTATTTTTTCCACAAAACACGCACAGATAGCAGATAGGTACTTTGCATCTGAACAAAGACATTGCAAGCAAAGACAGGGTAGGAGGGCAGATCAATGGGTGGGTCACCCATTGATCCAGGATTTAAAGACCCTCGTTGTGAAAACAAGTGAGCACTTCTGCAGATCAATGCCACACATATTCCCAGAACACAAAGTATGTTGAAATACTGACTTGGACCATCCAATCTTTGTCTGCAGGCACCTGTGAAGGCCACAAACTCAGGCTCCAACAGTCTCTGAAGTGGACCCTCTCCAAAGGTCCCAGCACACTTGACCTCTCCTGTCAGGTGCCACCAGGGAAACCTTGCAGCCTCTCTGAAGTAATAAGGTAGTAAGTACCTGCCTGGTAACAAACCAGTGGTGCCGATGGTAATATAGATATATTTTAATCCATATCTGTCCCCCCAGAGGACCTATTTATATTAATTGTCAATTTATATTAATTTAATTGTCAATATTTGCTTTTTTTTTTTTCACTGAACTCCTCTGTCCCAGCTGCCAGCGCTACTCTTCCTGCATTTCCCTTCCTCAGAGTTTTGAAATAACTAAGGGTACAAGACAAAAGGAGAAATTATCTGCTTCTTCAACCAGCTGATATCCTAGGTTCCCTAGCAGTCTGTATGAATAAGGAGTACAAGCTACCCTGTTACTCAGTGTGATAAGCAAGTTTTTCCCCTTTAGATTCTTACTTGTGGAAAAGCAGCGCTGCTCATTGTCCATTCATAGGTTTGACACTGGGATCACATCATAGACATTTCAAAATACACTAAAGCAATAATGACACACACAGTTCCTCTAACAAGTGCACAAGATCAAAACACGCTAACAAAGCACTCTGAAAATAAATATTCAGACTTGTCATTTTTTACATTTAATAAAGAAGTTTCTGTTGGAAAATAAATGGTGTTTTGTTCTTCCAGAAAGAGTATTGGCCTGGTATGATGCAGACTGGGAAACGCCGCATTCCCTGGACATGTGCTAAAAGGCTCTCTGGCAAGTACCAAGCACAGTGAGCAGGCAGCAAGCCTCCATCCCAGGCATGGGTAAGTGAGGTACAGTGCCACTGGTCCTAGCAGCCACTCACATTGCCAGTGAGACTGGGGAAAGGAGAAACCATCTGATGGAGGATTAGAGCACACCTTATTCTTGTACTTCCAAGCAAGAAAAATGTGGGCACGTACTTTATATCCTCATTTAAACCACCTACTGCCCTAAGAAAACAACGAGCTCATTCTATTGACTGCACTAAGCTTTAAAAACTCTCTTCAAGACAGCAGTAGAGTTAAGCCCAAAAGTCAGATATTCATATGAGAGCTTCCCTCCAGAAAGCGTGGCACAAGACTCATTTAAACTAGCTCAAACCCACTTCAGCACAGCAGCTGGTTTTCAGTGGACTGAGAGGTTGCTACTTTGCTCTGTTTCCTGAAAGTGGTACTCCTCCCTCTGTTAATTATTGATACTTTAGCTTTATATGTGCAACAATAGCTCAAGCACCATATTGTGCAAGAGCTCTCTCTCCAACATCCTCTACATCCTCTACTGCAGAGCACAGCACAAAAAGGAATTTAGCTCCCAGGTTGCCATCTTTCCTACAGCATATCTTGCACCACGTCTAGTCAGCTTGTACCTGTCCCCTTCTTAGACATCAGCAGTAACTCAGATTTTTAACTTACAATCAGTAACTGGTTTCCTAAACATGATCTGTAATCCAAAAAATAAACAATAAACATAGGCTTTGCATTTCACCAACAAAGCAGACCACAGCATAGATTAACTAACAGAGAACAGGAATGTATATAAAGCTGAACAATACAAAAACCATGGGGCAAACAGCTACTAGGCCTACGTAACAGATGCTGGTTACTTCTGTTGGTTAGAAAATGCTGGGTACTTCAGCATAGTTAGGAGTGTGATAAGAAATGACTTACTTTGCAGTGAAAAAATAGCTGCCAGAGAAGTTTAGGAGAATGGTCTGAAGACAGACGTGAAGCCATAAAACAAACAAAAAACCACACTACCAACAAAAACAAACAAGTAGCATTTGCAAAAGAGACCATTCACAATCTTTCCAGGATTCTTTTCTCCAGCATACATCCAAGCTGGTAAGCGGCCAAGAAGCTGAGCAGTGCTCAGATCACTGTTACACTGCTCAGGCCATTTTACAGCTCAGGCACTACCAGCATACCTGGCACAGATCAGAAAAGGATTTCCATGTACTTGAATACTGGGAAAGAATATAAAGAGGAAAAAAAAAAGTGTTGATATTGAAATAAAAGGAGTACAGGGGCTGTAGAAAAGAATAATGCATCTATGTAGCACCCGAGTGAAAGTCTAAAGCAGCTTCCCCAGATTTTATTGCAATAATTCTTTTCATTGTATTTTAGGGGCAGGTTGTTTCATTCCAGCTTCCTGCCATACGCCTGCTTGTCTGCAATCAATAGAAATACGTATTCCCAAGAAAACCTGTTTCAAGTAGGTGTCTCAGTCAGTATCTACCCTCTAGGCTGTTCTACACCATCCAGTCAGTACAGGGAATTATAATAAAGCTTGAATTAATGCTACTTAAAGGGAACTCTATCTAGTTCTTATTTTCAATTAATCCTGTAAGGGCAGGGGACACATACTAAGGGAAAGAATCAGAATCCACACCTGCTACCATAGCACCTGTATGCATATGCACAGTCCTAAGAGCTACAGAAGAGCATCTGTTGTGCTGCCTGTCCATAGTAGAGTGAAGATGCATCAGAACACAGGCCTA